TTCAGGCTGCTGACGTGGGACGGGGAGCGGATCTCTGTGGGGACGGGAGGGACGGGGTTAACCACATTGCAGACCCCCTACTCCGGGGAGGGTCCTACACCACGCTCTGCCTGCCGGTTACCAGGTGCTGAGCCCCCCGTGATGCCAACATGTGCCCGGCAGGGAGAGCCCAGTCCCTCAGGCTCTGGGGACAGAGAGCCCAGGGGCGACAGGGAGTGACGGGATGCACATCCACCCCAGCACAGCCCCGTGCCCCCCGTGGCCGAGCGCTGCCGTCCCCCAGCTCTGCCGGGCAGCGCCGGATTTGATCCCTGCCCATCGCCTGCCCAACAGCCACCGACCACGGCCAGGGAGTCCGGAGCCCCACCGGTCCCCCGGCGCCAGGGCAGAGGGGACAGTCCCAGCCCAAGGACACTGCGACTCCCCAAACCGGTGGATCAGTCACCCTGCATGGGGTTAGGGACGAGGTGGGGGTTACGGGGACAAGGAGGGCACGGTGACGTGCTCGGAAAGCCGGGGTGACACCGCATGCAGCAGCGGGGAGAGCGGCACCTCCTCACCAGCCACCACGCCGGGCTGCCCAGCCGGCGCCATCCCCCTGCTAAAATCCCCCGTGAAGGCAGCCGGGGGACATGGGGGCAGTTATGGGGCGTGCAGGAACCTAAATGCCACCATGAGCAGGGCCGGGTGACGCTGGGCAGCGACGCTGCCCAAGCCCCAGCCCCAACGCTGCAGCCTGCACCGGGGCAGGAGCTGCCTTTCCTCCTCCAGAGGCGGACGAGAGGGCGAGTAGCCAGCCCGGCGTGGGGGACAAAACACCCGGTGCTGCATTAATGGGGTGGGGATGCCCAATACGGCGGGTTAACGCGGTCACAGCGGGGTTTGGCATGTCATGCAGCTGCACCGTTTACCTGTCAACCTGGCAAACAATGACCCTCGCTTTGTGGATGGGCGCCGGGGCTGGGCTGGGAGGGCTAGGGCAGAGAGACGGACGGACAACACAACACACACGCAGAGGACAAGGTCAAGAGAAGCCTCTGGGCAAAGGAGAGGGTGGCTGCGGGTACCTCTGCCCCTTGCGGTGCCCGTGGACAGGCGCTGGTGACCCCCCCTGACGCTGAGCTGAACAGCGAGGGTCGGTGTCTGGCTGCTCGCAGAGCCTGGCAGCGACCGGAGGGCAGCCCAAAATTGGGGCAGCAGGGTGTCACAGCCTCCGGCTCGGGCACAGACCCTCTGCCCGCTGCCAGACACGGTCCTGTCCCATTTTGGGGGGACTGACAGAGGGGAGGAGAGTGGGACAAGATGCAAGCACCCCACAATTTTGAAACAAGACGGTTGGAGTGGCTCTTCAGGGCAGGTTTAGGGTAGACATTAGGAAAAACTGCCAAGTGCCAGGCGAGGTGCTGGCCATGCAGCACCCCAGCACGGCTCATGGGGGGGCACTGGTGGGGGCTCGGAGCCTCCAGCATCTCCGATTCCCACCAGCAGCTCTAAATCAGGGTGGGAAGGCTCTGCCCACGCCGGCACCCAGGCGATCGGGGGGGTTGGGGGGTGCTTACCGGATACGGGCGAGGGGCTGAGGGCCATCACCCCATAATAGGAGAAAGCTCCCGCTTCAAACTTCATGCATTCGTTGCCGGCCTCCACCTCCACCTTGCCCTGCAAGGGAGAGACGGCGTGTAAGCCACGTCCCGTGGCCCTGGGCTGGATGAGGCCCCGCCCCCCCCCCCCCCCCCCGGGGTGACGGTTCACCCAAGGGACCTTGGCAATGCCACCCCGCGCCCGGGTACCTGCAGGATGAGGATGAAGTAGTCGGCTGCCTTGTTCTTGTAGTAGAGGAAGTGGAGGGGGGGT